TTCCACACATTACCTTTGCTACTCATAGGAAGAGACAACACAAGTTTTGGCTAAGAACAGACATTTCAAATGAAATTTGCTCAGGCTGTTATGATTTGAAGCTGTTCTATTGCTCAAATGAGGAAGATAAGACTGAGGTTGTGGGTGGTTTCTAGCATTCTCTAACCTACAATATTTCATTATATTTTTATTGCATTTCTGTCTCTCTTTATAAAACAGACTTCTTAATCCTAGAGGAATACTTACTTTAATAGTATAAAATACTCTTTATATAATCTGCCTCTTTTTGGCTTATAGGCTTTTCTGGTTTTCCAAACAAGTTCCCAAGCTTGTGATATCTACCAAAGTCTAACGTGAAATTTTCTTTATAATACAATAGGCAAGGGAGGGGACTATTGTGGCTAGCATCAGACAAGATTCCTAACTTTGGTACGTAGCAGCTGTTCTCTTACACACAGCATAATAAAATAAAGAACTTTACATATCACTGGTGAGTTTTTTTTCTGTTTTAGTTTGAAACATTACTTTTTTATTTCCTTTCAATTCATTATCAGCAATGACGTTTCTGCCTGTGGAAGTTTTTGAATGGACACATGACATGTGTGTATTCACATAGGTCTCCATTCCCAAAGTTCCTCTTAGAATTCTAGTAGTTCATAGGCTCCATTACACAACACTGCTGGCATCCAGGGGCTTATTTTTGTGCTGGGTCCCATTTGCATTACAGATTATAAATGCTTAAGGGAAGAGGCTTTGTTTCCTGCCTCTCAAACTCCCTTTTCATAATCCTGGCCAATTCATTGATCAAGTCCCAAGTGCTGTATAAATCCCTTTGGTCAGACTCCATAACTACAAATTCCTTCAAGGAAAGGATCTTATCTTTCTCCTGTATAATCCCAGATCTGCAAGATCTATTTAGCTCATCTATTTAGTAACTTAATAAGCATTTTGTATGATCACTAATTCACAGCATAACATCAGACAAGAGGCTTAAGGGCTTCGTAGTGGCAGGCTCCTAAGGATATTTCCTTTTCTTGAAACATTTTGTTTAAATCAAGAAGATAAACTTCCTCAGAATTTAGTTTCTTTAATTAAGATTTTAATGCTCATAATGAATGCCTCTCACACTCTTCCACAGAAATATTACCCTTAGCAAAAAATATTTCAAACAAGAATGGTCTAATTAAAGTAAACTAAAGTAACTCTTTGATCTGAGAATTAAAACAATAAATATTACGATTCGGGAAGTACACAAAAACCAGTAACGACAGACATTTCTACCAGCTTCCTAAATCTATCATACTATGAAAAAAGAAGTGTGATCTTCTGTATCAAGTATTTTCTTTCAGGCAGTACTAGACTTTTTAGTGTTCCAAGAATATTCCCAAAGGAGTAATTAATTACTGTAAATGTTAAAGAACAAAGATTTGACCACTAGATAGTAAATAAAATTTGACAGTGAAACACCAACCTTTATATGAAGAGGGGGTGAAGGAAGTATTCAGAAAACAAAAGAGAACATTTCAAATATAATATTACAAATGTTATTTTCTTTTGCATAAGAGACAGATAATATCTAGTGTTCTTTGGAATTTTAGTTGAGCTACAATCTTACCAGCTAGTAAGAGGTGCGCTTAAAATAAGAATTAAACTATGTCCTCTTCAAATCTAAAGCACTGGTTTGCAAATTACACCAGAACAGTATTATTTAATGAATAAATAAATAAATCAGCAAACAAATCTATTGGAAATATGGATTTCAGATCACCTCTCCATACCATCCGAGTCCAAAGTTCTCTGCTACATGATAGATTTGAGAAATTTGCTGTAAGAGTATCCCCAAAAATGAAGACAGAGTCTTCAAACCATGATATGCTAACTCTCATAAGGATGTGATCATCTCACTGTTATGAAAGACTAGAAGAGATTACACCATGCTTTACTGCCTACTGCCTGTTTTTGAACACCCTACTAAAATATAATTCATATATACAAGACAACACACTGAGGCATATGATCCATCTTTTTAGAAAATTTAAAAAATGTTCAACTACCATAAAATTGGCTTATGAACAGTTATCAACATGAGAGTAACATTAAATTACTCTCTAATTCCCCACCCCATGGTCTTGAGCATGCATGAATGTATTTCCTATCTCTGTAGATTTGACAGTTTGGGGTATTTAATTGTAATTGAGTTGTAAGGTGTCTTTTGTGCCTGAATCCCCTCACTTAGATGACTATGTTCAAGTTTCATCAATTTTTTACATATTAGTGCCTCATTGTTTTATTGTAGTTGAACAATATGGATGTTCATGTGAACATGGACGCTCATTTCTCTTGTGCTTGAATCTTGGAATAGAAATAGGTCGAGCGATAGCTCTAAGGAACTTTCAAGTGGTTTCCAAAAGTTACTCCACCACTGAAATTTCTATCAGCAGTGTATATGAGTGCTGACTTTTCAACAATCTCCAGCTCTTATTCTCAACAGAATTCCGTATGTGTGACATGTTATCTCACAGCCATTCAGACTTTTACAATGCTGACCATCTTTTCATGAGCATGAACAAGTTGGGCATTTGCATATTTTCCATGGTAAATGTCTACTCAGATTTGTTGTTAAGTTTTTTTTTAATTGGTTTACATCTTACTTTCATTATTCAACTGTTAGAGTTCTTCATATGCTCTAGGCATGTGTTCATCTGTGTAAGTTTGAATGAAATGGCCTCCTCTGCTCAGAATTTGAATACTGGGTACTCAGTTGGTACAACTGTTTCTAAGGATTACTAGCTACAGCTTTCTTGGAGAAGCGTGGGCTCTGAGGTTTGAAAATCCCACACCATTTCCAGTTAGCTTTCTCTGTCTCTCTTTCTCTCTGTCTATGGTTGCTGTCTCAAGATGTGAGCTCTTAAATAACTCCTATGGCTTCAGCGTTATGTCTACATGCTTGCTGCCATGCTCCCAGCCATCATGGCCAAGGATTCACCTTCCGAAACTATAAGTCTTCAATAAACTCTTCTATAAATTGCCTGGGTAACAGCAACAGAAAAGTAACTAAGACACTGTCCCACTCATAAACAAAGTTGGCAAATAATTCTTTCCATGTGTGGGTCGTCTTTTCACTTTCTTAATAGTAACATCTGAAATACAATAACCTTTTTGAATATATTTTCCTTTAAAATATTGTATAACTTTTAATATTTATATCCTGATTCTTCAGCATTCATTCCATATATATGCATATGTTTAAGCTGACCATTTGGGACTATATAGTCTATCAGGGAACTTGTCCCTCAAGAAAACCAATTCTTGCTCCCTCAGTGGCCATTAATTGTTTATTTGCTCATTAGATCTGGAGGACACATGCCACAGTATACATGTGGAGGTCGATGGACAACTCTGTGAAGCCAGTTCTTTCCTAACATCCTCCTTTTTATCCTTAAACAAACAAACAAACAAATAAGCTTCCATAAAAAATATCATTTCCTGAGCAAATTGGGAGCATGGAGACCTTGGGGGAGAGTTGAAGGGGGGAGGGGAGAGGCAGGGAGAAGAGCAGAGAAAAATGTAGAGCTCAATAAATATCAATAAAAAAACATTAATCAAAAAATATCGCTTTAGGATTACTATATAATGCTAAGAGTAACTTTTATTAGGATACTAGCTCTTGGACTATGAATTTACATGGCTTACATTTTACTAAATTAATTTTAGTAAATTAATATTGTAGAGCAATGATACACAACCATGATTTGGTAGCAGTTAAATTAAGTATAAGATATTATTTGGCATAGGTAGTTGAATGAAAACAATAAAGTTTCTGAATACATATGTAATTAAATATTAAGTAATCATTTCCATTGCATGAACAGTCGGGAACACAAAGAAACACAAAAGCAAGGAATGACATCCACTGTGAAACAGACAAATGACATGATGCAAATATGCATGAGCAAAAAGGGATGAGGAACTTTCTTTGATAGTCCACCACATGCCATGTACAGTAGCAAGTTCTGATGCAAAGAACTCAGAGACTAAAACTTCAGAAGTATCTGTTGTGTACATTTGAGCTGGAAATGAAACATTGCTACCTGCCCTCTTCCTCCCGGAGCTAAATGTACTAGCTGAGAGAAAGAGGACAAGGTGTGAGGCAGTTCCTAGGGAAGTTCCTTTGATGAGAAAGAAATTGCCCAAAGCTCCAAGCCTTGGGCAGAGAAAGTCTATAAGAAAACAACACCTGCACAGAAGAAGCTCAGTGAATAACTTTAAGATTTCCAGAATGAAGCCAGGTCAGGCTACTGGGATCTAATATAAGGGGTCATTGCATTAGAAAGGCTGTGGAAATGGCCTGAGGGGAGTACAATGTACACTAGAGTGGGCTGGGATTCAGTATGCAATAAAGAAAAAGAAGTCATGAATTAGAAAGGAAGTTGGCTTGGGAGAGGTTGAAGGTAAAAGGGGGAGGGGAGAAATGATGCAATTAAATTTTAATCTTTTTAAATTAAAAAGAAAGAAATAATGCATAGGTCTTACATAGGTTTAAACCAGATGGGATCCCAGCACTAAGAGGTATAAGAAGATACAAGCTTTCATCCCTAACCAAAAAGGTATCTTCAGTTGGCATCTGCTCACAAAGGAAAAACCAACTTTCACCAGTGGAGGCTCACTGTGTGTATTAATTACACTTAAATGTAGGTCCCATGACGAGCAGTAGATGGCTAAGACAAACCAAACTCAATGTTATTTCTATAGAGCTTTTGTCTCATATTGCTTTGTCTGGGCATGTTTTTGTCTTATTGGTCATTATTTATATATCATACAGTTTCTGGTTTTATATTTTTATGAACTGGGTGTGCTGCGTTTTTCTCTTTTGATTTATTTGTCTGCCTGTTTGGTTTTTTCAGGGGCTTGTCTATTTGTTTTGGGGGGGGGGGTATATGGAATTGGGTGCCAGTCATGTTATTCAGTCTCAAAGACAATTAAATGCGAATTAAGATTACCTTTTTTCCAAAGATGACGAAAGGATGTGTCCAAAGGCTGATTAAGAATCACAAGGCAATATTTCAAATTTCCTAAAAGAAAAGAAAAAGAGTAAAACACACACAAAGATAAACAGTCCCCACTTATCATCTGTGTCTGCATCATAAGCTCCATGTACACAAAGGAGGACTGCAATGACAGTTACTCTAGCAAACCTTCCTTTCTGTAGAGATTGTTTATCAACAAGGCGTACTTTGTTCAGAATGTCTGTCTCTCACACATCATTTCTCTGAGGAAGGTATAATGAAAAGAGTTCACAATAAAAGGAAACTTTTTTTTGGAGGCGATAAATGCTTTTATTATGAATACTCAACCTTAGTAAAGATCCAGCATTGGCACAAGAGACCACTTCCTGAATATAATACCAGTAGTGCAGTAACACAGACACTAAGAGCAACAATTAATAAATGGGACCTCCTGAAACTGAGACTTCTGGAAGTCAAAGGACATGTTCAATAAGACAAAACCGCAGCCTACAGAATGGGAAACTAGCTACAACAACATCACATCGGAGAGAGAGTTGATCTCCAAAATATACAAAGAACTAGATATCAAAATACCAAATAATCCAATTTAAAAATGGGGTACAGATTTAAACAGAGATATCTCAACAAAGGACTCTCAAATGGCCAAAAAACACTTAAGAAATTGTTCAACATCCTTAGCCATCAGGGTATAAAAATCAAAAAACTCTGAAATACCATCTTGAACCTGGGAGAATGGCTAAGATAAAAAACCCTGATGATAGCTTATGTAGGAGAGGATGTAGAGTAAGGGGGAAGGAACACTCATCCATTGCTGGTGGGAGTGCAAACTTGAACAGCCACTTTGGAAATCAGTATGATGGTTTCTCAGAAAATTGGAAATCAACCTACTTCAAGACCCAGTGATACCATTCTTGGACATATACCCAAATCATGCAAACTCATACCAAAAGGGCGCATGCTCGACTATGTTCATAGCAGCATTATTTGTAATAGCTATTACCTGGAAACAACATAGATGCCCATTAACTGAAAACTGGATAAATATATGTGGTACATTTACAAAATACTATCAAACTGAATCCAAGAACACATCAAAAAAAAAAAAAATCCACCATGAGCAAGTTGGCTTCATCCCAGAGATGCAGAGATGGTTCAACATACAAAAATCTATCAATGTAATCCACCATATAAACAAACTGAAAGAAAAAACCATATGATCATTTCAGTAGATGCTGAAAAAGCATTTGACAAAATCCAACACCACTTCATGATAAAAGTCTTGAAGACATCAGGGATACAATAAACATATCTAAACATAATAAAAGCAATATACAGCAAGCCAACAGACAACAGTAGTGCCTGTTTAAATTAAATGGAGAGACACTCAAAGCAATTCCCCTAAAATCAGGAACAAGACAAGGCTGTCCACTCTCTCATAGTTCTCAACATAGCTCTTGACGTTTTGGCTATAGCAATAAGACAGCAGAAGAAGATAAAGGGGATTAAAATTAGAAAGGAAGAAGCCAAACATTTGCTATTTGCAAATGATGTGATAGTATATATAATCGATCTCAAAAACTTTACCAAGGAACTCCTATAGCTAATAAATACATTTAGTAATGTGGCAGGACATAAGATCAACTCAAAAAAAAAAATTGGAGCCCTCCTATATACAAATGATAAAGAACCTGAAAATGAAATCAGAGAAACATCACCCTTCACAATAGCCACAAATAATATAAAATATCTTGGGGTAACACTAACCAAAGAAGTGAAAGACTCTAGGCAATAGTGGGACTGCATAAACAAGCTTTTAGGAGCTCACTGTCTATGGAGGGATACCTTGCTGAGCCTAGATACAGGGCGGTGGGCCTTGGTCCTACCTCAAAATGATATAAAAGACTTTGCTGATTCCCCATGGGAGGCCTAACCCTCTCTGAGGAATGAATAGGGATGGAGTGGGCAGAAGGTGGGAGAAGAGAGAGGAGGTAAGGGAGGGTGAACTGGGACTGGCATGTAAAATAAAAAAAAAGATTGTTTGAAAAATGAAAATAGAAAAACTTCATAGGAAGCACCTACCATTATCCCTCGTAGCCTGAGTTCAACTCCTAGGACTCACATGGTGAAAAGAAGAACCTCACAAGTTGTCTCCTGACTGGACACACACACGCAATAAATAAATATTAAAAAAATTAAAAAAAAGAAAAACTTCATAGGAAAAAATATATGTAGTGCTGATATGACAGAGTCTGATAGCTGCTGGTTTTATACTCTCCTACCATTGTCAGGAATTGATGTCACTCAGGAGTGCTGGTGTATGCTATCACACTCATTCACACTCATTTGTGTTATTTTTTTTATTACATCCCAACTCACTTTGATCTTTCTAATGTAAAACTATATATATATATGTTATCACAAAGACTACCAAGCGTGTTTATTCAAGTATTCAGACAACACTAAACAAAACATTGGTAATGCTATTTTCTGAATTTTATTAGAAGGAAAGTTCAAGAACAAACAGGTTCTTGAAGCTGGGATGTGACTTGAGAATGAGTTGCCTCTAATGTCCTATGATGAACTTTATATATTATAAAGAATGCAATCAAGCTGGTGGGAATCCACAAGTTTTATTAAAGTACTCCTCAATTATAGAAATCAAATAATTGCTTAGTGATAAGAAAAACTATTTTGGAAGCCTTCTCACTATTAGAAACAGGAAAAGATAAGGTAATGAAAAGAATATGTCATCATATAAAACAAACCTTATTACTAATTATGCAACACACACTGTGGGTACAAAGAAAAGTAAATTTAGAGGTTATATGTTCAATAAGATGTTGACAATGTTGAGACTGTATTCAACAATATAAGTATATGAAGAATGACGGATAATAAAGGCCATAGTTTTGAAAAAAAGCAAGGGAGGGCTTGGAGGAAAGAATAGGAAAGAGGAAATGATATAATTATTATATATTTATAATTTCAAAAAATTCAAGAAGCAATAGAAAAAGAAGTAGTATCCTAATAATGCAGGACATTAGCAATAATATAAATTTTAAAAGTAATATTTAATGTGTCATTGGAATTGAACTTGAAATATCTACAAAGCGTGTAGTACAGGAATGAACTGAAAATACTTCCTGTATATTTGAGAAGCATACAAATAGATGTAGCTACAAATAAATGACTGGACTTGAAAGAACAAAGAATTAGGTCAAAATTGTGTTTGTTTACTATTACAGAGCATAAAAGGTTAGAAAAGGTCAATAAACAATTAGAATGTGGAAAAATTAAAAGTGGTTGCTTTCAAAGGAACAACTATAGGACCTGCCAATAATCCAGAATACCAGAAAAAGCAAGAAATCAATAGCATTATAATCATTTTGTCAAAAAGAAAAAAATCCTGAAGGGGACTTTGTGGTTAAGAGCATTGCTACCATTTTTTAATTGGGTTAATTAGCATTTTAAAGTCTAGTTTCTTGAGTTCTCTATATATTTTGGAGATCAGATTTTTGTCTGTTGAGGGGTTGGTGAAGATCTTCTCCCAGTCAGTAGGTTGCCTTTTTGTCTTAGTGACAGTGTCCTTTGCTTTACAGAAGCTTCTCAGCTTTAGTAGGTTCCATTTATTCAATGTTGCCCTTAATGTCTGTGCTGCTGGGGTTATAC